AACAAGTTTATGAATCATATTGTGTATGTACATAAACCGTAAGCTTGTCATTGCCAATTTAATCGAAAATAGGTAAAACTTGTTACACAAAACCCTATAAACGGCATAAGTTTAGTTTAGGTTCTTAAAAAAAATTATTTTGAGATGATAATAGAAAGTACAATTTGTTTATTCTTAAAAGCTTATGTTCAAATATCCTACACTTTAAAATAAAAGAAAATTATTAACAAAAATTATACCTAGAAGGAGTGTGAAAAATGGTAGGTTTATTAGTGGGAGAAATGAGAACCATGACAATATCAACATTGCATAGCAATGCTAATTGTTCTGTTTTCTTTAAAATCCCTTTCTTACGTTTTGAGTATTTATTGCTTCTCTCTTTTGGGCACTCGATTTTCTTCAGTTCTATTTTCATCTTCCCCATTTTCTCTTCTTTTTCGATTTTATTTTATTATTTTTTATTTTTTTATTTTTTTTGGACAATCTTTTCCGATTTTATTTATTCACTCTTCTTAGAATTAATATTTTTGGGTGCTCTCCTCAATATAAAAAGGGTTTGGACAAAATTTATCTTGGATTCACTAAAGATGTGATTGAAAGAAAATCTTCATTAGATTAAAATGTTATTTAGTAGAAATTATTGTCCTTAATACTTTTAAATTTGGTTTAAAAGAGGTATGATTTATTAATATTATTGTAATTTAATTGATGTCATTTGTACTCCACTAAAAACTAATATGCTTTTTTCATTGACACACAAGTATATATTATTTTGTTTTTTGTCAACTATATATTATTATGTTCATTTTGACAATACATATTTTCTTGGATTAAAATACATATCACACAAATTTAATTATTTATAATATTATATGAGTATGTAAAAAATCTGTATAATCATAATCGATGTGACACTATGACTACATTTTTAAATTATCTAATTTTCTGTAAATAAATTTTCACAAAAATCTATCAGAGTGCTTTCCATTTTTTAATGGCTGACAGTAAAACCAATTAAAATATGGTTAAAGGATGCATACAAACAAAGAAAATCAATCAACAACCATAGAAATCACCAAAACATGAATCAAACAACTTAGATAAGCCTAGGTCTTGCACTCACCTCTTAAACAAGAAAGAACAGCAACGAACAAGGGCTAACACGGGTGGAAACAAACTCCTCATATACCAAATACCACGGATCTAACTTCCTTTGGCCTAGAACCACCAAGAAACAGCCTCAAACCTCTCTCAAACCTCACAAAACCTCACTAGAGAACTTAGAAACTTTTAGAGCTTTTGAAAAAACAACTAAAACGGCTACTGAACAACTAGGTCGACTCTTCGACCTTTAAAAGGTCAAAACCTAGGTTAAACCAATCCTTAACCACTCGATTTCGCAATTAAAAACAAACTGGTCTAACCAAGGAAGGGTGTCGATCGACACCACCCATTTTTGAACACGGGTGTTACAAATAAAAACTTTAATATATGTTTTTATGTGATACGAATATGGAATAAACGCTTTTATGGACACATAGTCATAGGATGGATGTCGATATCGTTTGTGTATGTTTTGTCAAAAGAACATTGTTAAATTTCGACGATACATGTTGTATATAGCCTAGTCATATAAATATGCATATATATATAGATTTATCTTGGATATATAAATGAATATATTTACCCAACGATCCAGATTAGTATAAGTTTTGAACTAAAATCCCGCGCAACTCCCTTCATTTTTAATAATAGTAACCTATTTTTAATAAAATAATACATCATAAAAGGCCTTGATTTTTTAAGAAAAAAATGAAACTTTAAAATTATTACTTAAGACTCCTTCCAAAAATAAAGAATAGATATTTTTCATCTTTTACAAATAGTATAATTATATTGTGCAACTCTGAAGACGGTAGTCTAAAAAACAATTACAATTATTATTGTACAATATATATATATATATATATATATATATATATATATATATATATATATAACATATCACTGGTTAGAAATGTATGTGAAATTGTATTTATGCTCTTGAACCGGTTAGATACAATATGATTTCAATTTTAAAATCATATAAGTGTTTGCTGCTCTTCTTGGATTTTAACCTAAAACAAGATATAGATTACGCGTTAAATTTTAATCATATTTGATATTATGAATAAACCTAAATTGTTATATGTTACCATGCAATTACCTTTATGATATTTCCGATATGCCTCTCAGATGAAGCTAAATAATTATCCATAATATTGAGTCGGCATAAATCATTAACTTTAGTTGGATTCTCCCAGCCCCTTATAAATATTAATAGATAGTTTTTTTAGTAATTTACTAATGGTTAAAATTAATTTAAACAAAATTGTTGAATTTTTGTTAGTGAATTTGTTTTGATTGCTCGAAAATCAACTTCTTCTCATCAAGCAATTCCTTGTATCCTCTTAGTTCAGTGATCTTTTTGTCGTCCTAAATTATAATTAGGTATTTTGTTAAATCAACATTTATATAGAAAATTTTAAGAAAACAATTCTTTACGCTAGAAATATTTTTATACCTGGATCACTACACCTCTGTAATAAATATAGCTAAATTAGTTATTGTTTGGTGAATAAATCTATATATAAATGTTTTAATATAAACTACAAAATGTATTATACAGTACCTGTCACGCGAAAGATGATCAATTACTATGGGATCTTATGTATTGTTCTTGTCCACCAAATTTTTTAAAGTCTTTATAAAGGTTACATACAAAAAAGGGTAATGACTTAGTTTTTTGTTACTAACTTAAGTTGTCTTAATTTTCTTGTATTCAGAATTTATTTTTACAAAACATTATATCACATGTATAAACTTATATATGAATAACTCAATAACTCATAAGTACAAAACTAAATTTTACACCGTATTAAACTTCCTTAGCTCTTATTTTAAAATGATATAACTGAGCGTAGGAAAGAAATTGGCAAATGAAAAAATCAGAATTTATTTAATAAATTTAATGTGATGAGTAAATTAAACCTTTATTGTGTAGGCTCTCCTAAATGCGTGCATACAACACCAAAAATATAATATATTAGTTTTTATATAAATTGAAAAAATACAATGAAATTATGCAAAGTACTTAATGTAATAGTAATATGACAATCAGAAAGATCAAACCTCTCTTCACGTTCGTGTATTGAAATGTTACTGAAATTCTTCAAGATCTGACTTAAATTTCTGCAATTTTTCATAAGCATATTTTTACCAGAATATATGTAATGTTATGCACATTTTAAGACATATTTTTGTGAAAATAAATGTAAATTTTAAGCATTTTTTGGGAAAATGTAAGATTTAATCATAATTTTTTTATAAGGCATGCTCTAAATCATACAAGTTAGAAGAAGTAAAGATAAAAAAAAACAAACCAGTTTATGAATCATATTGTGTATGTACATAAACCGTAAGCTTGTCATTGCCAATTTAATCGAAAATAGGTAAAACTTGTTACACAAAACCCTATAAACGACATAAGTTTAGTTTAGGTTCTTAAAAAAATTTCTTTTGAGATGATAATAGAAAGTACAATTTGTTTATTCTTAAAAGCTTATGTTCAAATATCCTACACTTTAAAATAAAAGAAAATTATTAACAAAAATTATACCTAGAAGGAGTGTGAAAAATGGTAGGTTTATTAGTGGGATATATGAGAACCATGACAATATCAACATTGCATAGCAATGCTATTTATTCTGCCTTCTTTAAAATCCCTTTCTTACGTTTTGAGTATTTATTGCTTCTCTCTTTTGGGCACTCGATTTTCTTCAGTTCTATTTTCATCTTCCCCATTTTCTCTTCTTTTTCGATTTTATTTTATTATTTTTTATTTTTTATTTTTTTATTTTTTTGGGACAAACTTTTTCTATTTTATTTATTCACTCTTCTTAGAATTACAGTAAAACCTCTATAAATTAATAATGTTGGGACCATGAAAATCTATTAATTTATAGAGGTATTAATTTATCGATAAATTAATAATTATTAATTTATAGAGAGATTTTTCTAATTTGAAAGTTTTTTCAGAAAAATATTTTAAAATGAGATTTAATCATGATAATTAGTATTTTATATAATCAATTACAAAGAAAATAATAATTATTATGTCTTGAAAGAGAATGCTAACCATTTTTGATATAGTAAAATATTAAAAATAAACTCTAACAAAAATAATGTGTCTCTATATATATATATTTTGAAAATTTTACCTAATTATTAATTTATAATATTATTGGGACCATATATTTACAAAGGATTTTCAAAAAAATTATTATCTTATTATTTTATCGAAATATGTCTAAAATTACACTGGTCCCAACTTGGGACCGAAGAAATTTATTAATTTATAGAGATTATTAATTTATCGAGTATTAATTTATAGAGGTTTTACTGTATATTTTTTGGGTGCTCTCCTCAATATAAAAAGGGTTTGGACAAAATTTATCTTGGATTCACTAAAGATGTGATTGAAAGAAAATCTTCATTAGATTAAAATGTTATTTAGTAGAAATTATTGTCCTTAATACTTTTAAATTTGGTTTAAAAGAGGTATGATTTATTAATATTATTGTAATTTAATAGATGTCATTTGTACTCCACTAAAAACTAATACGCTTTTTTCATTGACACACAAGTATATATTATTTTGTTTTTTGTCAACTATATATTATTATGTTCATTTTGACAATACATATTTTCTTGGATTAAAATACATATCACACAAATTTAATTATTTATAATATTATATGAGCATTTAAAAAATCTGTATAATCATAATCGATGTGACACTATGAGTACATTTTTAAATGTATCTAATTTTCTGTAAATAAATTTTCACAAAAATCTATCAGAGTGCTTTCCATTTTTTAATGGCTGACAGTAAAACCAATTAAAATATGGTTAAGGGATGCATACAAACAAAGAAAATCAATCAACAACCATAGAAATCACCAAAACATGAATCAAACAACTTAGATAAGCTTAGGTCTTGCACTCACCTCTTAAACAAGAAAGAACAGCAACGAACAAGGGCTAACACGGGTGGAAACAAACTCCTCATATACCAAACACCACGGATCTAACTTCCTTTGGCCTAGAACCACCAAGAAACAGCCTCAAACCTCTCTCAAACCTCACAAAACCTCACTAGAGAACTTAGAAACTTTTAGAGCTTTTGGAAAAACAACTAAAACGGCTACTGAACAACTAGGTCGACTCTTCGACCTTTAAAAGGTCAAAACCTAGGTTAAACCAATCCTTAACCACTCGATTTCGCAATTAAAAACAAACTGGTCTAACCAAGGAAGGGTGTCGATCGACACCACCCATTTTTGAACACGGGTGTTACAAATAAAAACTTTAATATATGTTTTTATGTGATACGAATATGGAATAAACGCTTTTATGGACACATAGTCATAGGATGGATGTCGATATCGTTTGTGTATGTTTTGTCAAAAGAACATTGTTAAATTTCGACGATATATGTTGTATATAGCCTAGTCATATAAAAATGCATTTATATATAGATTTATCTTGGATATATAAATGAATATATCAACCCAACGATCCACATTAGTATAAGTTTTGAACAAAAATCCCGCGCAACTCCCTTCATTTTTAATAATGGTACCCTATTTTTAATAAAATAATACATCATAAAAGGCCTTCATTTTTTTTAAAGAAAAAAATGAAACTTTAAAATTATTACTTAAGACTCCTTCCAAATTAATGAATAGATATTTTTGTCTTTTACAAATAGTATAACCATGTTGTGCAACTCTGAAAACGGTAGTCTAAAAAACAATTACAAGTAATATTGTACAATATATATATATATATAACATATCACTCGTTAGAAATGTATGTGAAATTGTATTTATGCTCTTGAACCGGTTAGATACAATATGATTTCAATTTTAAACTCATATAAGTGTTTGCTGCTCTTCTTGGATTTTAACCTAAAACAAGATATAGATTACGTGTTAAATTTTAATCATATTTGATATTATGAATAAATCTAAATTGTTATATGTTACCATGCAATTACCTTTATGATATTTCCGATATGCCTCTCAGAAGAAGCTAAATAATTATCCATAATATTGAGTCGGCATAAATCATTAACTTTAGTTGGATTCTCCCAGCCCCTTATAAATATTAATAGGTAATTTTTTTAGTAATTTACTAATGGTTAAAATTAATTTAAACAAAATTGTTGAATTTTTGTTAGTGAATTTGTTTTGATTACTCTAAAATCAACTTCTTCTCATCAAGCAATTCCTTGTATCCTCTTAGTTCAGTGATCTTTTTGTCGTCCTAAATTATAATTAGGTATTTTGTTAAATCAACATTTATATAGAAAATTTTAAGAAAACAATTCTTTACGCTAGAAATATTTTTATACCTGGATCACTTCACCTCTGTAATAAATATAGCTAAATTAGTTATTGTTTGGTGAATAAATCTATATATAAATGTTTGAATATAAACTACAAAATGTATTATACAGTACCTGTCACGCGAAAGATGATCAATTACTATGGGATCTTCTGTATTGTTCTTGTCCACCAAATTTTTTAAAGTCTTTATAAAGGTTACATACAAAAAAGGGTAATGACTTAGTTTTATGTTACTAACTTAAGTTGTCTTAATTTTCTTGTATTCAGAATTTATTTTTACAAAAAATTATATCACATGTATAAACTTATATATGAATAACTCAATAACTCTTACGTACAAAACTAAATTGTACACCGTATTAAACTTCCTTAGCTCTTATTTCAAAATGATATAACTGAGCGTAGGAAAGAAATTGGCAAATGAAAAAATTAGAATTTATTTAATAAATTTAATGTGATGAGTAAATCAAACCTTTATTGTGTAGGCTCTCCTAAATGCGTGCATACAACACCAAAAATATTATATATTAGTTTTTATATAAATCGAAAAAAATACAATGAAATTATGTAAAGTACTTAATGTAATAGTAATATGACAATCAGAAAGATCAAACCTCTCATTACGTTCCTGTATTGAAATGTTACTGAAATCCTTCAAGATCTGACTCAAATTTCTGCAATTTTTCATAAGCATATTTTGACCGGAATATATGTAATGTTATGCACATTTTAAGACATATTTTTGTGAAAATAAATGTAAATTTTAAGCATTTTTTGGGGAAAAGTAAGATTTAATCATAATTTTTTTATAAGGCATGCTCTAAATCATACAAGTTAGAAGAAGTAAAGATACAAAAAAATAAACCAGTTTATGAATCATATTGTGTATGTACATAAACCGTAAGCTTGTCATTGCCAATTTAATCGAAAATAGGTAAAACTTGTTACACAAAACCCTATAAACGACATAAGTTTAGTTTAGTTCTTACAAAAAATTATTTTGAGATGATAATAGAAAGTACAATTTGATTTTTCTTAAAAGCCTATGTTCAAATATTCTACACTTTAAAATAAAAGAAAATTATTAAACAAAAATTATACCTAGAAGGAGTGTGAAAAATGGTAGGTTTATTAGCGGGAGAAATGAGAACCATGACAATATCAACATCGCATAGCAATGCTAATTCTTCTGCCTTCTTTAAAATCCCTTTCTTACGTTTTGAGTATTTATTGCTTCTCTCTTTTGGGCACTCGATTTTCTTCAGTTCTATTTTCATCTTCCCAATTTTCTCTTCTTTTTCGATTTTTTTATTTTTTTATTGCTTATTTTTGGACAAACTTTTTCGATTTTATTTATTCACTCTTCTTAGACTTATATTTTTTGGGTGCTCTCCTCAATATAAAAAGGGTTTGGACAAAATTTATCTTGGATTCACTAAAGATGTGATTGAAAGAAAATCTTCATTAGATTAAAATGTTATTTAGTAGAAATCATTGTCCTTAATACTTTTAGATTTGGTTTAAAAGAGGTATGATTTATTAATATTATTGTAATTTAATTGATGTCATTAGTACTCCACTAAAAACTAATATGCTTTTTTCATTGACACACAAGTATATATTATTTTATTTTTTGTCAACTATATATTATTATGTTCATCTTGACAATACATATTTTCTTGGATTAAAATACATATCACACAAATTTAATTATTTATAATATTATATGAGCAGGTAAAAAATCTGTATAATCATAATCGATGTGACACTATGACTACATTTTTAAATGTATCTAATTTTCTGTATATAAATTTTCACAAAAATATATCAGAGTGCTTTCAATTTTTTAATGGCTGACAGTAAAACCAATTAAAATATGGTTAATAAATATAGCTTAATTAGTTATTGTTTGTTGAATAAATCTATATATAAATGTTTGACTATAAACTACAAAATGTATTATACAATACCTGTCACGCGAAAGATGATCAATTACTATGGGATCTTCAGTATTGTTTTTGTCCACCAAAATTTTTAAAGTCTTTATAAAGGTTACATACAAAAAAGGGTAATGACTTAGTTTTTTGTTACTAACTTAAGTTGTCTTAATTTTCTTGTATTCAGAATTTATTTTTACAAAACATTATATTACATGTATAAACTTATATATGAATAACCCAATAACTCATAAGTACAAAACTAAATTGTACACCGTATTAAACTTCCTTACCTCTTATTTCAAAATGATATAACTGAGCGTAAGAAAGAAATTGGCAAATGAAAAAATCAGAATTTATTTAATAAATTTAATGTGATGAGTAAATCAAACCCTTATTGTGTAGGCTCTCCTAAATGCGTGCATACAACACCAAAAATATCATATATTAGTTTTTATATAAATAAAAAAAATACAATGAAATTATGCAAAGTACTTAATGTAATAGTAATACGACAATCAGAAAGATCAAACCTCTCTTCATGTTCATGTATTGAAATGTTACGGAAGTCCTTCAAGATCTGACTCAAATTTCTGCAATTTTTCATAAGCATATTTTTACCGGAATATATGTAATTTTATGCACATTTTATGTCATATTTTGTGAAAATAAATGTAAATTTTAAGCATTTTTTAAGAAAAATTATGATTTAATCATAATTTTTTTATAAGACATGCTCTAAATCATATTAGTTAGAAGTAGTAAAGATAAAAAAAAAAACCAGTTAATGAATCATAATGTGTATGTACATAAACGGTAAGCTTGTCATTGCCAATTTAATGGAAAATGGGTAAAACTTGTTACATAAAACCCTATAAAACGACATAAGTTTAGTTTAGTTTCTTAAAAATATATATTTTGAGATGATAACAGAAACTACAATTTGTTTTTTTCTTAAAAGCTTATGTTCAAATATCGTACACTTTAAAATAAAAGAAAATTATTAAACAAAATTATACCTAGAAGGAGTGTGAAAATGGTAGGTTTATTAGCGGGAGAAATGAGAACCATGACAATATCAACATCGCATAGCAATGCTAATTGTTCTGCCTTCTTTAAAATCCCTTTCTTACGTTTTGAATATTTATTGCTTCTCTCTTTTGGGCACTCGATTTTCTTCAGTTCTATTTTCATCTTCCCCATTTTCTCTTCTTTTTCGTTTTTATTTATTCACTCTTCTTAGACTTTTTTTTTTTTTGGGTGCTCTCCTCAATATAAAAAGGGTTTGGACAAAATTTATCTTGGATTTACTAAAGATGTGATTGAAAGAAAATCTTTATTAGATTAAAATGTTGTTTAGTAGAAATTATTGTCCTTAATACTTTTAGATTTTGTTTCAAAGAGGTATGATTTATTAAGATTATTGTAATTTAATTTATGTCATTAGTACTCCACTAAAAAATAATATGCTTTTTCATTGACACACAAGTATATATTATTATATTTTTTTTGTCTACTGTATATTATTATGTTCATTTTGACAATACATATTTTCTTGGATTAAAATACATATCACACAAATTTAATTATTTATAATATTATATGAGCATGTAACAAATCTGTATAATCATAATCGTTGTGACACTATGACTACATTTTTAAATGTATCTAATTTTTTGTAAATAAATTTTCACAAAAATCAATCAGAGTGCTTTCCATTTTTTAATGGCTGATAGTAAAACAAATTCAAATATGCTTAAATATTAGATAATAACCTTAATTTACAAAGGTTCATATGATACTAAACTCTGTCTTTTTAATATAAATTTGGTAAATTTCATAATAGTTCTAATATTAAAACATCATTTTAATTTATTGGTTTACGTGAAGAAAACCCATTATAAAGGGAAATAATTATAGATTTTCTATACGAGTTTTACTTTGGTCAAGGAATCCTCTAGTTAAAATATGAGAATTGGGGAAAGAGACACTTTTTGTTTATAATGCTTACAGACGCTATTTTTGAGACTATTTAGATATCATTACAAACTTTAACTTTTACTTTGTAGATACATTTCATAAATAATATGCTCAGTCTGCCATTAAATTATTTACTACCTATGTACCCAACTCTGCCATTAAATTATTTACTACCTATGTACCCAACTCTCAAGGGGTGGGTTGGGGTTTAACTGTACAAGAATTCAACCATCCTCTTCAGGCGAAACAGTTATGGTGCCTCCTACGATTTCTGAATGTGTATTTAAGTAGAGGTTTCAGGAGAAGATACTATTGGTATAGTGATCCCCTCCAAAAAGAGAAGTCTAGCTAATTGTTCCTCTTATGTACAAAGTAGTATTTTTTGGAGCCAAACCTTTGATTGTATTGGGTCTTCGAAGGACAATTAGTTAAGGGATGCTAACCTGTGTTTGGCTAGACCCTTGGATCCCAACAAATTTTCAAAACTTATTCTTGCTATTAGGGATCCTCACGTTTTTGTCAATGACCTTCTTGATCCATAGGATATCCCACTTATTCTAGGAACTCGTCCTAGCTGGACGTATCTGAGCGATGGGTATACTTGGTGCCATACTAATTCAGGCAATTCTACAATTAAGTTGGATAAGAAGCTGTGAGAACACTATTTCTTCCTACTTGTGAATCCCCTTATCAGGGACCGGCTGTTTCAAAACTTCAGACAAAAGTATGGAATATTAAAACCATACGAAAACTAAAGCATTTCATGTGGAAATTTCTATCGAGTTGCTTGGTAAAATGTCAAATAGTTTTTAACGGGATAATGGTAGGGAAAAATATCGACCCCATTTTAGAGCAAAAGAAGAGACAAAATTTTTTTTTTTTCCAATGCCGGCCTCCCTTTCGATAGCTTTGGCCCTCATTTCCAACCTCGAGGAATTTATTCCCTCGTCAATCTCTATTCTATAATTTTGATTTTCTCTTGAAAAGATGTAAATAATTATGAATAAAAGTGGAGAATCTACGTGCCTTTCCTTGGATCCTCTGGTTTAATAAGAAAGCTAAAGCTTAAAATTGTTCTGTCATGCTATGTAAAAAGAGATAGAGACAGAAACGGATGCATCTTCTGTTACCTAAGCGACTATGACGCCCTGGCTTGCAGAGAGATTTACATGAATTGATTTAGAAACATGTGTCACCAAAGCGCACTTATCTTTTTGGTCTTGGTCAAAGGTCCTGAGATAACTTAAAAGTTAAGTGTGCTTATGCTAGAGTAGTTTAAATATGGGTGACCTTTCGGGAAGTGACTGTGAGAACTGTGGGAGTGCGGTCAAGACACAGGGAAAGTTCATGTCGTGATTCGTAAGGTCGGTAACAAGTCTTTAAAGTCTCACAAACTTAGCAAATTAGCCGTCAAATTTAAATGGGCTCATGTGCATAATTGGAGGACGTGAAACTCATTAAGAAAGATGGACCCATATGCTGAGAGTGAACATGGGGTCCACTAGATGAGATGACGGTCGGGGTGTTACAAGTGGTATTAGAGCCGAATCTAGACGAGTATTGTCGTAGGGTATTGAAAATAAATTTTACACGAAACGATAGTTTGTCGTGAGAAAATCATATGAAATTCCTACCAAATTCCTACAAAGTATATAATTCTAGAAAATTTTGTAGGAAGTACAAAGTATATTGAAAACCCTCTCGATTGGCCCACCTTACATCTCAGTGGCTACAATGAAGGAGTTTAATTCCTATTTTACCTCCTTAAGATTTGATTTCTTCCTCGTAGCAAAAAAAATCACTACAAGAAAACATGGTATAATCCTACCAAGTTTCCTAAAAAAATATGGTAGAACATATTTCCGACGACATACTTACTATTTTGTTACGAAACATTGTTGTCATAGGAAAGTGGAAATAAATTTCTTACAAAAGTTTGTTGTGAGAAATTCATAGATAATTTCCTAACAATTACTACAAATTATCTAATTGAAAAGAAAAACACGTGGAAAGAATTGGGTAGGAAATATTCCTTCCATTTTTCTGCCAATACAATTTTGTATGGTTTGTAGGAGTGCTTCCTACTAGGTTTCATATAAAAGAAATGTTTCTTATAGAAGAAATGTTTATGTGATTAATCGTAGGTATGTTTCTCCTATTTGAAATATATTTTATGATATATTATTAAAGCGCGTTAATAATAAAATATCATATACAATTTTGTATCACAAAGTGTAGAATAAAAAGTGATATAGTAAAATCATGTTAATTCTTACTTTACCTTTACAATATCTTACATCGGATAACTTCACATTTATTAAAAATATCTATGTAAAATATTGTAGTTTTCTTACAATTGTAAATATATATCAAAATTGATTAAATCTGA